GGAGGAAGGGAAAAGTATACAGCCAATCATTACCTGGGTAATTACACAAACTCCTTTGGGTGTAGTAGCTACACAAGTCCATTGCCCGGAAGTCAACTTACAGCTAAAGACCTAGCTGATTCCCGTTCAAATATCTTACATTCCCATTCTCTTCGACTACTTCTACCCTCTTCTTCTTCATCCTCTTCTCTCAAGACTGTGATCACTTGATTCAATCTTCTCATTCCTCACCATTCACTCCTCTGAAGGATACCCGTTCCCGATATAACATATTGAATTTCGTCACCGATTATTGGGCTCACAAGGAAAGAATACACCACATTTCTACGACCCCGCATTGCGGTAACACTTTTAAGTAAATACCAAGCTCGCGGCGTTAGACCTTTACACTTCAACTTTTTACATATCAATCAATTCGCGATACAACAACTTCCACACCATAGCAATGTCTGAAGGAAAAGTAAAACCATCTACTCCAGTAGTAGCAGAAGCTCATGATGTCGACACTTTCCGTATGTCGAGATTCCAAGATGTCCGTGCCAAATATACATTTACTGACCGTCATGCGCCTATAGATCCTCCGCAAAAGATGTTTGCCAGTAAGCTTTAAATTCTGCATCCTACGAAAGGTTGCATACCAATTGATGAGTGCAAAATACTAATGATTCTCTACAGAGCATCCAAGCAAACCTCACTTAAGTGGTACAATTGCCCTTTTCTCTTGGCGGTAAACATGGAAACTAATAGTAATAGGACTCGATGAATACAAGAAACTCTACGATGAATCGATCAAGGAGCCCAACAAGTTCTGGGGAAGAATGGCCCGTGAGCTTTTAACCTGGCAAAAGGATTTTGAGACCGTTCACAGTGGATCGTTAGCAGGCGGCGACAATGCTTGGTTCCTAGAGGGTCAATTAAATGCTTCTTACAATTGTGTTGATCGTCATGCAATTAAGAATCCAGACAAACCAGCCATCATCTACGAAGCCGACGAGACTACCGATGGTCGTACTCTTACATACGCGGAACTCCTTCGAGAAGTCTGCAGAACAGCATATGTTCTCAAACAAATGGGTGTCAAGAAGGGAGATACTGTTGCGATATACTTGCCCATGATTCCAGAAGCTGTTATTGCGTTCTTGGCTTGTTCGCGTATTGGTGCAGTTCACTCTGTTGTCTTTGCTGGTTTCTCCTCCGATTCCCTCAGAGACAGAGTTATTGATGCTCAATCGAAAGTTGTTATTACCTCGGATGAGGGTAAGCGTGGTGGAAAATTGATCGGCACAAAGAAGATTGTGGATGATGCGCTGAAACAATGTCCTGATGTCACACACTGCTTGGTTTACAGACGTACCGGTGCCGATGTTCCAATGACCAAGGGTCGTGATTGGTGGTGGCATGAGGAGGTCGAGAAATGGCCA